GATAATACCGTATACCGTGATAAAAGCATTAGCAATTAATCGCAACATGAAAATTTGATACCAGCATATCCCTAGAATGTACACAAATAAAAGCAAACCTTTTACAATTCCGATTATCTTTATGACTAAAAGGATAGTTGCTTCCACTGTTAGACGGAAAAATATTCAAGTGATTGCGCAGGCGCCGCATGCGTGCACACAGTTAAGCTTTGCTACCTTGACAATGCAGCCTGTTCTTTATCATAATAAAATACAGTCAGTCAAACATATGGAAAAAAAAACAGACTGCTCAGTTTAAATATGTAGGTAGTAAAATCTGTGCCATTAAGTGTTATCACCGTACCGCCGTGATGTTATGCAAACCATTTTGTTTTACGTGGATATTGGAACGCCAGTGTAGTAGGCTACATAATAAATAATATTTTGGCATTCAAATACATCGCGAATACAGAAACATTTGATTTGGTGTCAAATGAGAGACCCAACGTTGGTTTCAGTTTCGTTTTAGCCTAAATGAATTCGTTTTGGCTTGTCGTTTATATTGCTATAGCTTCTTATATTTTTAATTCTTGTTCTTTTCTAAATACTGTTAATTGAAAGGATTTGTTGTGGAGTGAGGGGAACTAAAATAGCCTAACTATGTTTACAGTGTTTATTATAATGTTTGTAAACATTTCGCATCGGCATTAGGTCTATTTCTGAATGAAATAAAATGTGTCTTATATACGACTTAAGTTTTTTTTTTTTCTAAAAAAACACAATTTTTACGTATTTTAACCATGCAGCAAACCTTTTGAAATATTTTGACAAATTACAGAGAAAAAAAAAAGAAAAGTAAATTACTTTTTAAACCGTTGAACTGATTGTATTAATTGGTCAAAAATTCTTACGGTCGGTTAACGGTTAACCGGTTAAAATGAACATCCCTACTTAGGAGTCATTCTTGTCTACATCTGCTCCGGCGGCGAAACAATGGCGGACTGTTGACAGCTCACTCAGGGCGGGTCTAAGGTAAAACGCTAGTGTCAATCAACAATCGTGGGAGGGGCCTGGGTCTGTGTGAGGTCACACAGACAGGCATCTGAGAATGGCTTGATATGAGAAAGGGGAAATGATTTAACGAGATAAAAAAAAAACACTGGGTGGATCTTTATCATTATAGGGTGGTTGTGTAGACACACAGCCAACACACATTTCAGTTCAAACAACTTGTAAAAGTGCACGTCACATCTGATGACCCCTTTAAGTTTAGGTATTGGGTAGGATTAGGGATGTAGAATATGTGCTTTATAAGTACTAATAAGTAGCCAATATGTTATTAATAGGCATGCTAATAAGCAACTAGTTAATAGTGAGAATTGGTCCCTATACTAAAGTGTTAACTTTTGAATTCATAATTCAGTAACTCATTGAAGTGAATGCTTGTTTTGTCAATAGTCAGTACACATTAGCCGTATTAAGTGATGTGAAAAGAAAAAAAATATTTTTGTAGAAAAATGGAAGCATAAATGAATGGTAAAAAAGTTAATACAAAAACATTTATTAAGCATTTATTTTTTGCAGTCCTATAGCCTGTCAGTGATTTATAGTTTTATTTCGTTATATAATGTGATGTCTTTTATGTGATTTATGATTTATGAGTACACCTTAGCTCCGATACTTGACAGAATTTGCCCGAGGCTCCTCTGCCCAGTATTTCAGGCTGCGTTCTGCTCTTTCCTCACAGCTTTCCCTCACATTCCTCTCTGATTAAGGAAGGGTAATGATTTAATTTAGTGGAATGTGGTGTGGTTTATCCTGCTGTTTATCACTCCTTAAGATCGAGTACAAATCTTCATTTCCTTATATACAGTATATAGTATTTCTGCTATTTATTTATTTCTGTCATTTGCCTGGATCAGCATCCTTTGTTGGTCCTGGAATGATGTTCCTATACAATCATGTGTAGACTTGTGCCGGTATTCGGTAATGCGATATATCACGGTAATGAATATGCACAATATTGTTATCGTGGGCACTTCTAAATACCGTGAATAATTATATATAACAAATTATTCAGAATTTTGAATACATTTTAAGAATACTTTTCCCATCAACTGGTCAAAATGCACAACACCGCTGTATGCTGCCTGAAAAACGCGTGCGCACTCTGATGTAAATAAGCGTGGACGAGAAGCACATGGCGGAACATGTGAAAGATTCTCCGGATGAAAGCGCACTTTCACTCTCTGACAGCAGATGGCGCTATATGTGTTTTTAACAGAGCGTCACAGAGTTAATGTTTGGAGGAACTTCAATTCATAAATAGGCTTTAGCTCAAATCACTCCTGCTGCTGGAGTCCCAGAGTCCCTGTTTAATGCTCAAGAAAACCTGTAAATTACAGTAGTGTTTATGATACAGTATCAATACCACCGTTTTTGATTTACCCTATGTCTGGAAGAATTTCATTCTTTGAGTTTGAAAGTCTTTGTTTTTGTGAAAAAAATCAAAAACACATTTCCGTTGTGCATTTTACAAAATCCATATTTGTATTTATTTTTTTAAGCCTGTTACAATCAAACAACAAAACAATCTATAGATTGTTTTAAAAATCATGGAAACAAAGGGACATAACTCATTACTGTTTAAATACTTTTAGCTGTGTTTTTATTGATTTGTAGATTCTATATTTTTGACTGTGCCATTATGTTTGTTCAGTGCTTTTATTTATGTTAGATTTTACTGTATATTTTACAGAAATCTTTATGGGTGAATCTCTCAAAAACTGTCAAGTTTGTTATTAGAAAAGTTATTAAACCTGTTATACTGTATTATGAGAGCACTTTTTTAAAACTAAATTTCAATATCGCGATAATACCGTATACCGTGATAAAAGCATTAGCAATTAATCGCAACATGAAAATTTGATACCGGCATATCCCTAATCATGTGCCAAACTAGGGGTGAGCGATAGGGCAAAAAAAAAAAATCAATCAGGGTATCTGCAGAATTTTTAAAGTCAAATTATAGACTTTTTATTAAAACCCACACAAAATAATAATAATAATCTATACAGAACACTGTCAATACAGAACAAACCCATACAATCTCAAAATAAATAATGAAATTTCAAAATATTTTACTCAATTAAATAGGTTGTGGTACACATTCAATGACTTAGACTTGCAGTTATCCTGTTTTTCCAATATTAAAATACACGTTTTATTAAGTAAATATTTATTAAAATGTATTTATGAACCAATTTGTAAATACATATTTGGGTTACAGATATGGGATTTTGCTGATTTGATAATAACGTGTTTAATGAAAGCCAATAAAATATTATTATGCTGAAACTAGTAAAATCTTTGTACTGAATGTATTAAATAATGTTATTAGTCTTTCCTTCATGTGAAGGGGTAGCCCACAGGGAACTTTATGATTATGCAGTACTTTTAATTATAAACAAGCCAGAAGAAGAATGTTAGTAACTAAACAGTTGATTGACTTCCATAGTCAAAAAAATAAATAAATAAATGAAAATACTATGGAAATCAATAGCTGCTGTCAACTGATTGGCTACCAACGATCACGAAGAAATAAACCCTTACAGACTGACAGAATTTCATTTTGGGTGAACTGTACCTTTAACTGAGAGAGAAATTGTAGTTTGGTTGTTTAAATATCGGATTTTTTTTTCTGTTCTTTTGCCCTTCCTCCATCTTCAGAGAACATGTTCAAGAGCCGACAGAAGAAGAGCTACTAGCTCAACTACAACAACATCCTCATCTGCACCTCTCCTGGTGACCCTAAGCTTGCCCCCCTCACCTCCACCTCACGGGACGCCTTTAATGCATAATTACACCAAAACACCCAGAATCCTCCAGGACTCCATCACGTCTGTGTGAGCCTCATGTTTACATATCCATCCATTTTGGAGGGCCTGTTTCCCATTATAGGATCTGTGTAGCTTCAGGTCGGCCTGGGAAAGGATGTATGTGTTTTTAACAGAGCGTCACAGAGTTAATGTTTGGAGGAACTTCAATTCATAAATAGGCTTTAGCTCAAATCCTCATCTGCACCTCTCCTGGTGACCCTAAGCTTGCCCCCCTCACCTCCACCTCACGGGACGCCTTTAATGCATAATTACACCAAAACACCCAGAATCCTCCAGGACTCCATCACGTCTGTGTGAGCCTCATGTTTACATATCCATCCATTTTGGAGGGCCTGTTTCCCATTATAGGATCTGTGTAGTTTCAGGTCGGCCTGGGAAAGGATGTATGTGTTTTTAACAGAGCGTTAAGTTAATGTTTGGAGGAACTTCAATTCATAAATAGGCTTTAGCTCAAATCACTCCTGCTGCTGGAGTCCCAGAGTCCTTGTTTAATGCTCAAGAAAACCTGTAAATTACAGTAGTGTTTATGATACAGTATCAATACCACCGTTTTTGATTTACCCTATGTCTGGAAGAATTTCATTCTTTGAGTTTGAAAGTCTTTGTTTTTGTGAAAAAAATCAAAAACACATTTCCGTTGTGCATTTTACAAAATCCATATTTGTATTTATTTTTTTAAGCCTGTTACAATCAAACAACAAAACAATCTATAGATTGTTTTAAAAATCATGGAAACAAAGGGACATAACTCATTACTGTTTAAATACTTTTAGCTGTGTTTTTATTGATTTGTAGATTCTATATTTTTGACTGTGCCATTATGTTTGTTCAGTGCTTTTATTTATGTTAGATTTTACTGTATATTTTACAGAAATCTTTATGGGTGAATCTCTCAAAAACTGTCAAGTAATGTCCAGATCATATTTCACCCACAAAAATTTAAAAAAGGAAAGGAAATTGATTCTCATTACTGTAATCTGAAATAGAATTGAATTAAATCAGTCATTGCATCCTGACAGAAGGATTGAGAAGTGTTTTGTATTACTAAGTAACTTTCTGAATTATTGTCATGTCACAATGCAAAAAAAAAAAAAGAAAAATCTCAATGGTACAAACTAGGTTTCTCTTCATGCAAGATACATTTTTATTTTTTATTTTTTTTTGATTTTGGGTGTAATATGATGCCGACTGTTCGTCAGTAAATTTCAGTGACCTTATCAAGTGTCATTATTGGGATATTTTTCATGTTTTCAATATTATCAACAGATGGCGTTTTGCTGCAATCAATACATTTGACTGAATATTGGTATAAATGGTTGAATTACACCACTGTATTGTGTTCTTTCTGTTCTGAGAGCAACTTGATTAAATGTCTCTGTTAAATGTCTACAGGCAAATCTGGCTTATATCATTACTTTTCTGTAGCATGCTTTACATCAAACCAACTTTAGATGACATTACATATAATATAAATATTATTTTTATATTTTGTTTTCATTTTGTTTTTTTTAGATAAAATGTTAGTAATTTTTTTCATTCAGTTTTTGATTCAATTTTTTAAATGTCTATTCAGTTTTACATTTTTATTTCAGTTTTTATTTGAGTTATTTTTCTACATCAAGTTAAATGAGATGATATGAGAAATGTTGCATTTATTTTTGGTAATTTTAGATTTAGTAAAAGCGTAATAACCCCGATAAGAGGACCACACATGTCTATGTGTTTGAGGTCTTACATACAGTAAGTGTCTAATTTCCAACACAGTCTATTTAGCAAGACCATTTTATAGGCCAGTTGGAAACTCCCAGGTGATTATATGGACTTCCTCAGCCTCCAGAAAAGTAGATCAGCACTAACACACACACACTTTGCATTGATTTAGGGGGCTAAACATACAAACACACCCTCTTACACAGGGCATGTTTTCCCAAAACAGTGTTGTGGTCTGCCTGACCTTGTGTTGAACACACATCAGAGTGACCGTGTTCGCCTCATCTTCCAAACAAATACACAGAGTTCCCTTCCACTGTTTGTTTACTTTTTCCTCTAGATGTGTTGTAGCTTCAGTGAGGATTTTAGTGAGAAAAGTAATGGATTTTTTTTTTCTTTTTCCATGTAATTTGTCACAGAATTTTTTTTTTTTACACAATTTTTTTGTCAGATCAAATTTATTTGGGTGAAAAAATACACTACTAGTCAAATGGGGAATAATGGGAATAATGTGTATTTTTTTTTTTAAATGTTTTTGAAAGTCTCATGCCCAACAAGGCTGTGGTTATTTAAGCAAAAATGATGTAAAAACAGTAATATTGCGAAATATTATTACAATTAAAAAACAACTACTTTTCCATATTCATATATTCTAAAATGTAATTGATTCCTGAATTTTAGGCAGCCGTTACTCATGTGACATTTCTGCTTATTTGATAAAAATAATATGCTGATTTGGTGCTCAAGAAACATTTCTTATATATTTTGCATTTAAAATTTTGGGGAAAGTATAATTAATAATATTAACTTTCAACTTTTAATAAGTATTAACTGTTTTCAAAATGTAGAATAAGAACCATTATTAATAATTGAGCACCAATAAATTTATAATATTTTAGTAACAAATCAGCATATTACAATGATTTCTGAAGGATCATCTGACACTGAAGACTGGAGTAATTGCTGCTGAAAATTCAGCCATCACAGGAATAAATTACATTTTAAAATTTAGTAAAATAGAAAACAGTTCCTTTAAATTTTAATAATATTTAACAATATTGCTGCTTTTGTTGTATTTTTGATCAAATATGTTATATAACATTTATTTCAGAAACATTACACATTTTAATTATTTCACAGGTATAGTGTAACTGACAACTTAGCAATGTAAACCATGTAAATTATAGTATTATTTGATCAATTATTAGATTAAGCACTTTTATAATCTGCCAGATGCTTCTGGGCAAGCTGTGTCAGTGGCTAAACAGGTATTGATAAGCTTAATTCAAATTCAAGAACTACTGTTACAAAATGTTGAAAACTGCTTTATTACATTCAAATAGTCTGAACATCTAACAACTTGAATTTTTCACTTTTATGTGAAAAATGTGAATAATGTGCAGCGAATTGGATTCACTAATGTGGGGTAAGTCGTGTCACTGGATCTGTCATATTTCTATGGCCCTGTGTTATAACCGCTTCCTTCTAATTGTCAGCTGTTTGTTTTGCAATTTCTCTTTGCCAATAGAGCACAACTTAAAAAGTGGCACAGCTTACCCCACTCTCCCCTGTATATCATTAAGGTATGTTTGTACCCTGCTTTATTTTACTATGTGAACTCAACTTTGCTGCTCTCAACCTTTCCTGAGGATGGTACTCCCCTAGTTATGCTTGGAGGCTTCAACATCCACCTAGATAAACCTCAGGCTGCAGACTTCCACACTCTGCTTGCCTCTTTTGATCTCAAGCGAGTGTTAACTACGACTACTCACAAATCAGGCAACCAACTGGACCTTATTTACACACGACACTGCTCCACTGATCATGTGCTGGTTTCTCCACTGCACACCTCGGATCACTTCCTCCTCACTCTTAACCTCAACATGGTTCCTGACACAACACATACCCCTACACATGTCACTTTTCGACGTAACCTACACTCTCTCTCACCCTCCCGGCTATCTGCTATGGTTTCATCTTCGCTTCCTTCCCCTGAACAGTTATCATCTCTTGATGTTAAGAGTGCTACTGATACTTTCTGCTCCACTCTTACGTCTTGTTTAGACAGTGTCTGCCCTTTGTCTTCCAGGCAAACTCGTACCACCTCTTCTGCCCCTTGGCTATCTGATGTTCTCCGTGAGCATCATTCTAAGCTCAGAGCTGCAGAAAGAGTATGGCACAAATCACAAAATCCTACTGACCTTAATGTATATCGATCACTCCTCTCTTCATTCTCTGCTAAAGTCTACACTGCTAAAAGGAAATACTATCAAAACAAAATTAACAATTCGCCTAACTCTCGCATGCTCTTTAAAACATTTTCCTCTCTCCTTTGTCTTCCTCCTCCCCCTTCCTTCATCAACTCTAACAGCTGACGACTTTGCTTCACACAAAAAAGAAAAACTTAAACAGGTTTTAAATTACATTTGTTGAATTTTTTTTCTTTTTAGGTGCATCTCTTTAAGTCCCTTTAAGTGTGAGTACGTATAAAAATCCAATCCAGATCTTCTATACTTATCTTGCTGGATCTGTCCGCTGCTTTTGATATGGTGAACCACCAGATTCTCCTGTCAACCCTATTGGAAAATACCATCTCAGGAACCGCATACCAGTGGTTTGAGTCTTACCTCTCAGATAGGTCCTCAAAAACACTAGCTTTCTTATTTTTTCTATTCTATCTACTTGTTTTTCTTTGTGTGTGTGTATATATATATATATACATACACATACATACATACATACTGTATATATGTATATATATATATATATATACTCAGTACACATAGCAAGGTATATATATACGTATATATATATATATACCTTGCTATGTGTACTGAGTTAGGCTAACCGAGACTTGTCATTTGCACTTACATACTGTTGCTGTTTTGTTAGTTTTGATTGCTTCTATTGTCCTCATTTGTAAGTCGCTTTGGATAAAAGCATCTGCTAAATTACTAAATGTAAATGTAATGTAAATGTGAACAACTATGGTTATACAGAATGATTTAACGTTTACACAATATTGTTCTTCCAACTTCTATTTCAGTGAGAATGTCAAACTTAAAGCAGGACTGGTCAGAACTGCTTAGATAGCAGCACTTGCATAAATAGCTTTAAACATTCAAAACTAGATTATTGATCTTTTTAAAGTGTAGTTTACACAGCCTGATTGTGAGGGCTTTAAATAATAAACAAGCTGTTCTTCTGAGGAATGCCTTTGTCAGCTGTGAGGAGATCCATATTGCTCTGGAATGTGTGGAGCTGCCATAGAGATTTTCAACTCAGTTGTCAAATAACAATTTTCTGTGACAGACCTTTTTGCCCAAGTAGGTTACTAAATTCACTATTTTAAATGAACCCCTGAAGCAAGAAAAGTACTTCTGTCAACCATGTTTATCATACAAGATAAAGACTTATAAGTGGTCTAGAAAAAGCCGATTTCCAATTTATGTGATGAATA